TGTCTGTGTGTGTCTGTGTGTGTGTGTGTCTGATTGTCATCAGTGTGTTTCTACAGGCTGGACCCTATACGCCGCCTGGTTAAGCCGTATTGAACCACAGATATGTGTTTCAAAGCCTGTTTGAAACACCAGCCAGCAATAATGATACAGGCGAAGAAAGACAGGACGCCGCGCTGGGAAGGCTGCGACTTTGTCCGTGCAAATGTGTTGAAATACATTTGTTTAGGTGTGAAATAGTGCAATTTAAAATCAGCTGTCTTGCTTTAATCGCATTAAAATGACTAAACCTTACACAAACGTGTTGCTGTAGCAACTAGACACATCTCCGGCGTGAATAAAGCGGTGTGTAATACAGTTTGAGAGAGACCAAAGTGTCATTATTCTCGGCTTCGTGTGCAGCTTAGTGGCTGGAGCAGGCTGACCTTGAAAGGGGGGTGGACAAAATAATTGAAACACCTGAGAATACAATGACCTTGTAGTGAATGTCGGAGGTTTTTGTCAAGACCCTCAGAGGTGTTGGTTCAATTCAATGGTTATTTCTGACAGTGTAGTTTGTGAAGCGAACGTCCAAAAAGGAGTCTCTCAGGCAGTAGTTCTCTTTCAATTCAGTTCTGTTGAATTTAAAGGGCTTTATTGGCATGAAGGTTCCTCTCTTAGTGCACCTTCTCCTCTGTCCTTCACATGGTATTGTAACTTTAGAGATCATTCTGTTTACTCTGAGACTACTGACCACGGTGCTGCAAATGATCGGCAGCTAGACAACAGCGAGTTGAAAACAAAGCAGTATTTTGTATTTCTAGGGGTGGCAATATCCGGCCAGTATGTCCACCATTTTGAATCGTAGTTATTTAACTCCTCCTGAGGTAATGTCAGCTGGTCAGTTTTTACTTTCTCACCAAAATATCTCAAAATCTACTACATGGATTGATCAAGTGTTTTGCCCAGAAGAGAAATCCAGCAGTCTTTGGTGGTCACCTTTTTATTTAGGGCTTCTAACATTTACGGTTTGAAGAACAACGTCTAAGTAATTATTGGACCGATTGCCATTAAAGAGCCCATGTTGGGCTTTTTGAGGTTTTCCCTTTCTTTTAGCATGTTATGCATGCAAAAGGTCTGGAAGCTTCCAAAATCTAAAGTCCACGCAAAAGGGAACTATTCTTTCCTTGAGAAAACTCTTCTCTTTACCTGCCCGAAACGCTTCGTTTGAAGTCTAGGCTGTTCTTTTGTTACTTATTGACATCATCGTGTAACACAGTTGTATAGCACAAATAGAGCAGTTGCCTCCTTCTGTTAAGTCTACATCTCTGCACTCATAGATTCAGTCTGTGACCAATGTTGCCTTGCTTTTTTGGAACCAACTGACCAATCAGAACCAAATAGGCTTTATGGGAAATGGGTCCTTAAAGAGACAGGAGCTAAAATAGAGCATTTCAGACAGAAGGTGCTGCAGCAAAGTACAGATTAAGAAAAATAAACTGTCTTTACGAAACAATAAAGCATTCTAGTGGAGCCCAAAAATAAAATGATCAACTTGTACTTGTGAACTATATAGGCCCTCTAAAAATTTGGTAAAGACATTTGTGTTTACTTTGACGAACCTTTTTACTTTGCAACATCAGGTGAAAATTTCAGGTCATCGACTACTTTGGTTTATAATCGAATGCTAGCAAAACTACACTAACCGCCATCAACTTCACCTTCACCTTTGGGTTCATCAAAAGTTAGCTCGCTAACATCCCAAATTAAGAAAGCGAACACCATAAATATTATCTGCTTAACACATCACGGAGCTGCTAGCATGGCTATAGACTCTTCTTGTTATCAGGTTTAAGGTTCACCACGAAGTAACTCGCCAAGATACAAAACATGGTGTTTTGATTGCAGTAAGAATTTATAGCAATGGAAAACCCCTAAATATCAAACTCATTGTGGGTTTGGTGAACGTTTTATTCTCTACATCTGGGCCTTTTCCAATTTGGGGAGCAAAATTAAATGATTAACGAAACAATCCAACCCCGTCTCTTTGTCAGTCTGTCTGCGAGGAGACAGAACAATAACTGAAGCAGCCCCGGCAGTTTCCACTGTCTCTCATTTAAGAGGCCCCACATTAATTCAGTCTACTGTAATCGTGGCACACACACGTACATGCCCCCACAGGGCGCTGCCTTAATTTAATCACGGCGCACACAGACACATACAGATTTTTGTGAAATTTAAACCATTCGCATAATCAAACATGCAATAACGCACAGATACGCAGCTGAGCCCCCCCGTCACACATGCGCACAGATATTTTTTATTTTTTTAGATCACGGTCGCGAGTCCTGTGCCAAACATATGTTAATAAACCTCACATGAACCGCCTCCCCCCTCCTGCCCCTCCCATCAAAGTACAACCAAACCACTAAACAGGACAGGAGACAAAGCAGGGCTGGGCTGCAGGCGAAAATAAACGCACACAATCATAAAGCAAGTAACCACACACAGGCACGCCGCTATTAAAAAATAAGCTCACACTTAGACTAATTGAGCCGTTTCTTTTTCACCAACCATAAACCAATTGAGAACCGCTTTTTACTTCTTTACTAGAAGTCACAAAAACAAAAAATAGTATATATGCTGCTTAACCAGCTCTGTGTCTCCATGAATACTGATTGATGGGTTTTTTATGATAAAGCTGAAAAAGGCTTTGGGGCTTATTTTCTTTGAGAATCTTCAGATCAGATCGGCTTGTACGTCTTTCTCTGCTTTATTTTGTCTGATGCTGTGCACGTGTGCATGTGGACACGGCTGTAAATATGTAGCACACGTGTGCGAGCGTGCACACGAGTCGCCGGCCCGGCCTGTCCCATTATAACAGGGAACAGCGAGGCCACTCCTGATTTAAACATCAGCTGTCATAAATGTTTCAGAGAAATGGAAGGAGATGGAGGGATTGCCGGCAGCTTTCGGAGGGGTGGGGATGTGGGGCTGGTGGGTGTTGGTGGTGGGAGGGGTTGTTTTGATGTGAGAGAGAAGAGGACAAAAACAAATTTGGGTGACAAAACATGCGGCGGGTTTACATTGGAAGAGAATGATTTGGGTTTTTAAAGCTGAAAACAGCAACCTTGTTTGGAAACCTTTCAAAAAATCTGAGCGATGTGTCTGAGCGTGATCATCCGGTGTGAGAAATACGGTGGAAACCCTCAGTAAAAGCACTCAGTCAACCATATGTCAGGCTTATTTAAAATTAAAAAACTTCAGAAATGAAAAAGTTGGCGCCTCGTGACATGTAGTCTTAATGGCGTTAAGTCCGACTTGTGAGGACGTCCTTGACTGAAATGTTCATCATGATATAAAGGCAGCAATGCACTTAAAAAGTCCCAGTAATAATCTAAGAAGGAATGCCCTGGTTTATGTGACTAAGTCGTAAACTACTCGGTACAGTCTGTGCACTAAGCCCATCGTTTATTTGAAGGCGCAGTTCGTTGGCACGGCTTTTGCGCTCTCAAACTGATCATACACAGCAGTGGTTTATAGTGGAACTGAACTAAAATAAAGACTTTAAGTTCAGGTTTGGTGTACATTAGTTAGCTTCTGTACAACAAACCTGCATTTTCAGTTATGAGAAACTGACAAATGCACAAAATCCAGAGTCTGACTCTTCATTTATGTGCTCTTATAAGACAGAAACCTTTCGTTTACATTTTTTTAAACAATTTTCTGAATTGATAGTTGGCCACAATGTCAATCAATAGTTGATTAATTGCTACAACAAACAAAGTGGTAGTTTTTCCATATGCTGATACAACCAGAGATACTAGATGTGCACCACAATGCTGTCATAGTGGCCCCTTGCTACCTAAACCCCTCCAAAACTCTCAGCCATATAAACTCTGAAGGCTGCCTCACCCATCCACAAAACTCTCAATTCAAACAACACAACTGAAATACTCATTCTCACTGTCCATTGTGAACACAGAAATGCCCAGAACATGCGTGTCCCCCATCTCCTGCCTCGTCAGTTAATATATCTTCAATCTGTTCAATTATTAATGGCGATTAATCAATTACTGGTCAATCATTAACACCCCTAGATTGAGTCTTCAGTGTGAGGTGAGCAGATGTGACAGATCATCTGCCTCTAACATTATAAAACTCCAACAATGGGGGCAAGGTGCTGGGATTTAACTGTTGTCAATTTGTTGTGGCCGGGGGAACTCGGACGTATTTGTTTTACAAAGGGAATGCAGGTCAGGGTCATAGGAGAAGGCTTTTACCACCTCGCCTGTGATGTATAATCAATAGCCAAACCGATCCCAAGAGCTCAACAGTTCACTGTACTCTTTCCTACCCCCTCCTCCTCCTCCTCCTCCGTCCTCCTTCCTCCTTCTTTACTTTTTCAGCTTCACTTTCTTCCCTTCGCTCCCCACTTTTGATCTCACTTGAAATATTTTCTTTGTAGTATCTGTGCGCATACAGGATGCACGAACCCTCACCATCCGACTCCAAGGTCACGAAACAGCTTCACACGCTCTCTGATCTCTGACGAGCTCGCAGCTCGAGCGGATGGCGCCATCTACTGGCCGCAGCGCAGACTGCCCGCTTGCTGCTGACATTAGCGCCGCCTCGCTCCAAATTTAATTAGCTAAATGGCAGCCTGAATTAGGCTAAATGCAGAGTGAGCCTGCTGAAATGAGCGTAGCTGTTGAGGACTAAGGGATAATAATCAGCCCCAATTACATTTGAGTGCTCACATAAAAAAAAAATCTAATTCAATAATATTGGAGAGAGAGCAGGAGATTCCAACTCGGTTGCGCATTCAGGCAGAAAACTACGACTAAAATCTACAAGTATGTCAGGTATTAGATGTGTGAGCATGTGACGGAAAACAAGAATGAAATGAGAAAGCATGAAAATTCTGATTATTATGGGCAGAAGAAAAACAGGTTTCTTCTGATTCTAGCATTTGGATGTGGAGCTGATACAGATGCGCACACATCTGGACCAAACAGACTTACTTGGACGTATTCTCCCTGGTTCTCTCCTGGATCCATGGGGCTGAAAAAGGAAGAAAAACAAAAGAGGTTAAGTGGAAAATAGGAAAAAAAGAGAGAAGCTGTTGAGCTACATACTGTAAAAACAGGAAAACCGGCTGTAAACTTCTGTCCTAACTGTGTGTACATGTGCTTTGATGCTTTTGTGTTTGATCTGCTCTTCTAACAGGTGCAGCGCATGTTGCCACGGATGAAAAATCTGCTTGTATTCCCACGACTGCAGCAGGGCCCTCCAGTGAGTGGAAACACTGCTGCAGTCCAGCTTAATGGAAAACAGATAGATAACAAACCCCACTGAGCATCTTAGGTTGCTGAATATGGAGCTGGCCTCTCAAATCTCCCGGGCCCCATAACTCACACTTTAACACTCGTGATGGATCCCGATCTGGTGTCAAAACCCCGCTGTGCTGCAGTCCTGGGAGCCTAACTGTGTGTACCGCTGCGCAGCTTTGTGATACGAGGCAGGAGCGAGCAAAAAGGGGGGCAATTACACTCCCAGACAAGTTTTAAGATCAATCAGCGCGGCTCCCAATTGCACGAGGGTTTCTCCGAGGGCCCAGAGCAACGCTGTGCTCCACACGACTACAGAGAGGTCAGATCAAAGGATCCCATCATGGCAGTGGGCTTGGGAATGTTAATAGGTCCCACAGCACAGGAGCTCCACATTCCCTTCAGATCTGCTCCCGAGCTTAAACTCGGCTTTAAAAACGTGCCTGTACAAATAGAGAATTATGATTAGCCTCCGTCATTTGTGTTGATAACATCAGCACTGATCCAGAAAGAATAAGGCCGAATGAGCTGTAAATACAAAGAGAACATACTGATCATACACGCAACACAGAATACTACACTGGATCTACACAGGAAGAAAACCATTAAGCAGTAGAGCTGAAGTCAGTAGCAAGAATATCTACAGTGGGTTATGCATTCCTCTCCATTCCACTAGACAAACACTCACAGTCTTGGTTTGCGTTCACGTTTGAAGGTCAGCGTTACACCTCCACCAGACTGCCACAGGGCGATACAGGATCTCCAACTATTTCTGCTCAGACTACAGCTGCATGTGTAGGAACATTTCAACCACAATGTGATTCTGAAGTGTTAACCTATGTTGATGGTATCTCAAATCCCACCAAACACCCGATGTAATTTGGACGTTGTTTTATGGGATAAATGTGGTCAGTCATAGCCTAGATTTAGCCCAAATATAGTCGTTGAAACTGGGTTGTTTTTAGAACGTCCAATTTGGTCTATCTATCTATCTATCTATCTATCTATCTATCTATCTATCTATCTATCTACAACTTGCCACACTTGTATTGAACACTGAGGAGCTACAGTACCCATAATGCAACACAAGGTGATGAAGAGACGTCTTTTCAACGACCTGAAAAAGGCGGCTTTTCACTTTTCATTTTTCAACCAAATTGTGACGTAGTATAGACGTATGGCAAAGACGTCTTTTCAATGTCTTTTCAACCTTTTTTTGCTGGATGGGTGCTTCTAAAGGTGAAGACAGTTGTAAAACAGACACTCTAGACCTTTTAAAGCTCCTAGCTCAGCAAGCTCATCATGTCAGCAAAGACAAATTGCAGTTATGGCAACCTGCGGTTACATATTTAGGCCATAAAATCACTGGACATGGCAGAGAAATTGTACAGGACAGAAAATCTGCCATATTAAGCGTACCTAAACCACAAACTAAAGCCCAAGTGATGCCATTTCTTGGAATGGCAGGCTATTGCAGAAATTGGATTTGCAGCTACACGTCTATTGTTGATCCACTGCAGCAATTAGCATTTGGTCAACCATTGGCTATGAAAGATCAGGTCCAGTGGACACCTGAAGAAGCCTTTACTTCGCTCAAACAAACATTTACAACAACAGGTGTCCTCAAACTTCTAAATCATACAATGGACATGTACAGCATTCTAATAGACTTTTCACAAAGATCATTGGATCATAACATAGAATTATTCCAACACTTTCAATACCTGCTCCATTGCTCTAATGTTATTTCAAACATGGTGGATGTTTCATCTAAAACATACCAGAGATTAATAATTAATGTGAATATTATTGAAATCGAATGCGGTCAGGTGCAACATCTAAATTACAGGAGCTGCAATGTTTTGATAAAAGTCAAATGTGCAGCGTAAGCATTGTGGTACTACAGAGATGGTGCTGGAGATGTACGGGAACATGGTTGTTCTGTACAGACTGCAGCAAAAAAATCACATCATTTTTATTTTTATTTTTTTCTGTGGAAAAGAAATGCAAAAATATCATTCCCATTAAAATCCTTAAGCTTTTTTAAAGCTTTTTTTCTATCATTAAGTCCTATAATAAACAAGATATTAGGCGAAAAAGCATGTATACAGCACTTTACCTGAAATTCATGAACTTATTATAGATAATGTGTCCATAACATAATACTGTTGCATTAAATATTATGATCAATTTCTATTAGTGTTCCTGTGTTCCTTTCTTATAAGCGTTTTCTATTTTTAAAAAATAATCCTTTTCTGTCCTAAAATGGCTTAGATGTGTCTCTACACTGTTGCTTCCTCATGAATATGGAGATCTACGAAGTCCCCTCCTCTCTCTCCATACACTCCTCCCCAGTCGGTGTAGCTCAAGCACACCAGCTCACCCACACCTCCGATCAAACACAGTAAATCTACTTACACAATGGTATGCATTCATTAAGCCATTAATGTTTGAACTAGTTTGAATGTTTGTGAGGTGGAAAAGCTCAGCCTTGGTGTTTGAATGCTTACTGTATATATTATGCTGCATCTTCCAGTGTATAAAAAGCATTATATGGACATAGAAAAGTGAAAAAAAAAAAAAAACAACTGGAGGAGGTCAGCTATAGCAAGCATGCCATCTTTGAGGACACATGCCTCAGTTTTTACTCGATGGAAGACAGTGGTGCCATTTCATGTTCAAATAACAAAGTCAGCTGAGAGAAACTTGTGATTTAAGGCTATTAATTCAACTTCAAATTGGCAGTGACAAGGAATGCCACAGTTATTTCTATCGCTGATTAAAATATTATTTCCACAAATAATCAAATTAACTGTAAATAGAATCTCAGATAATAAAGAAAACCATCATCGACAGAGCGACACGGTCCAAGATGATGTGTTGAAATTACAGAACTAACAGTCCACAGCCAGAGAAGATCCACTTTAATGTCCCACAGCAAGTATCAAATCATCACATCAGAGGTGAAATCATTAATGCTAATTTTCTACTTAGTCCATATTATTCGACTAATTGCTTCAGCTGCAGTTGTGACATTACACAAGTCAAAGCCCCCTCCTCTTACATCTTTTCAAATTAGCGCCAACATGCTTTTTGCTCCTTGTGGGACACTGAGGCTGAAGACCTCCTATCTGCCAGCTGAGCTTATTACCCCAGAAACACTGTGACAACATTTCATTTCATTTCAAGTCTTACCAGCCACCAAAAGCACCACCAACACTGTCTGAGCTGAGAAAAGAAGTTTCCAGAAAGGCAGAGAAAACTCAGGCAAAGAAAAGTGGCAGAGCTGCACCGTGGACTGGAGGAAAATGGACAGTCGGGGCTGAGAGATGGAAAGACCTGTGTGTGATTTAGGGTCGAACTGACAGAGGAGAGAGAGCTCTTTGATGTGCCCATACTGAACTTGGAGTATGGAGCTATATTTCCCACGGTCCCTGGCCTGAACTAATGGGCTGATGCTGCACGCTCACACATACGAGCCCCTGCATGCCAGCGCAACCGCAGCCTACAGCCACGCACACACACACACACACACAAAGTGCAAATCCCACCGTAACACGATACACACACCCGGCTATCATGCGTGGCACACTGGAGGCAAGGGAGCCTTTGGCATGTCATGGGAAACAGTGAGAAAATGCGATCTGCTCTGCTGAGGGGTGTTTGTACTTTCTTTTTCTTGACTTTGTTGATAAATCAACTACAGCATTATGAAACGCACACAATAAGCTCACACACACACACACACACACACACACACACACACATAAAAAAAAAGCTTATTTCTGTTGGTCTCTTGTGTGTAAGAACAAATCAATGCAAAATGAGAAATCATGAAACTAGCTAAAGACCGGCAGCTTTCCAGCAGCACTTGATCAATACGAGGAATCGATGTTACCTGCTGCCTTAAAAAAAGTGAAGTGATGAATCCTGTTATCGTCCCACTTCACACTAATCACCTAAAGACAAGTTCTGTCCACGGCAAGGTCAGCACTAAATGAATTATACAACTTTTTTTGCGCCCCCTGGCTTTACGCACAGAAGAACCGGATTGCTATAAGGACCCCCGTTAGCACTCCTCTCCTCTATTATCTGATCAATGTGGACAGTTTTTTTTTTTAATCTGCTGGTAATAGAGCCAGGATCAGATTAATGGTTATTTTATGAAAGAAATGGATTTAGGCACGCAGCAAGTAAACAGAAAACTGCAAAGAAAGACTGCAGGCCTTAAAACTGGAACAAGTTCAGACCATTTAGTCAAAACAGTAAATTAAAAAGTGCATTCAATCAACTTTCTACTGCTTTAAAAACATCATACCTGTGACTCGACTACATTTATTTTATACTTTAAGTACCAGGCACCTTGCATATTTAAATTAAGAACACAAAATACAATACATCAAATAAATTATGGTCAATTATTCAATTAAAATAAAACATTATTGATCCCTAGAGGGACATTTACAAACTACCAGCACTGAATAAAGTCATTAAAATCAGCCTTTTAAAGACTTTAAGTGACTAACGGGGTATATTCTACATTAATAGAAAATGACTCCATTATGTATCATGAAATTTTTTTTTTTTCTGGATGCTAAAATTTGCACTTTTAGTAAAAATGTAAACTTTTATTTTGCAAAATACACTGGTATTGTTAATTTTACTCAACTAGTAAAAGCACCATGTAAACCCTTCATTCAAAATAAGTCAGTTTGGAGACATCATCTGCTCACAATATTAACAGTACAAGTGCAGCCTCTTGCAAAAAAATACGGCCTCTGTGACACATTTATGGACGTATAAATCACTCCCAAACTGTTATTGCCAATGCATCGATTAGCAAGCAGCGTGATTCGGCTGTATAGCTTCATTCATTACAGCCCATTTACTGTAATGGTTTCCAGCCTTGGGGGCGAAAAGCAACCTTCCCTCCTTTCATGACTTTATTGTTCAAAATGGGAAAAGGAAAGAAAATTTAACTGAAAAGATGAAAGTATTTTTCAAAGAACTCACCTGTCAGAGTCGAGGTTTGTTTTGTCTGCTCCTTCTGTCGGCTCTTCGTTTCCTGTCTCCTCCTTTGGTTCAGAAACAGGCTCGGACTCTAACCCGTCAACCTCCAGAGTTCCATCATCCCCCCAGAACGGTGGAGCTGATGAAGCCTCTTTCATGGCCCCAGGGTTCAAGTCTTCACCTGCCTCGGTCCTGCCTTGGTTGTCGCAGGTCTCTGGCTGGAGTGCTGCACTCGAACCAGCAGATGGTGACACATCCTCACAGGCAGATCCAGAGATGCTCTGCTGGATGTCTGAGGCTTTACTTTCAGCTTCAGGTTCAGGCTCTGTCTTGGGATCAGTTGGAGAGCTTTGGTTGAGCCCACTCTCGGCTTTTACTACAGCTTCATCTCCGACTGCTTTAGATGAGGTGAATTTCAGAGATCCGTGGCTTTGGTCCCCTGCAGGTCGCTGGCTTTGACTCCTGCTGATGCCGGCCTTATCTTTACTCCTCTTATTGCTACCACTGCCGCTGGGGCATCCTGGAGAACAAGGGCACAACAAGCAGAGCAGATAAAAACACAAAGACATGCCTCATCTTGCCATCAGCTATTTCCCCAAATTCCTCCAGAGGTATCCACCAGGCTGATGCAATATCGCTTCATAGCTGCTGCAGCTTCACCTTTATTACTCTTATCCCTCCTCTTCATCAGCAGTCGTGGCAGCGTGCCCACATGTGTGTAGCTCTCACTGGAGCGCACATAGCTGGCAGTGCGAGGACGCATGGCGTCCATGTCGTCCAGCGACGTCTCGGCCACTGGAGACAAGATGGAACCACAGTCGCCGTCATCTCCAGGTGAACATCCGGCTCCAGACTTGGACTTGGAGGCCTTGGAGTCTTTCTCAGTGGAGCGGCGAAAACTGAGGTTGGTTAGGCTGCCGAACCATTTGAAACCTTGAAAGGAGAACAGTAGGAAAGGTCAGTGTTTGGTAACAAGTCTGCAGTAAATCATCTGCAGGATCTTCAGGTGTCCTCTCCTGTGGAAGCAGCTCCCAGTTTGGGTTTAGGAGGTAGATACCCCCTCTACTGCCTCTCTACTTTTAAGGTTAGGCTTTTCTTTTTGATATAGCTTATAGTTGGTACAGACTCAGGTGGTACTGGACATCCCTGAGGTTTAATCTGTCTGTTTTCCACCTGCTATCTTTTCCCCCTTCACCCCAACTGGTCAAAGCAGACAGCTGCCCTCCCTGATCCTGGTTCTGCTGGAGGCTTCTTCCTGTTAAAGGAGATTCTTCCTTCCCGCTGTCACCATAGAGCTCACTTAAAGGAATTATTTTGGGGAGGATTTTTATTGTTTCTGTTGATAATATAACTTTATAATGGCAAAGTTTAAGCTTAGGATGGAATGACAGAACTTTTAAGGTTTGCATTGATCTGTTGTTTTCTCTTTAGTTCATCTGTCCAATAGAAACACATTCTACATGTCAGCTGGATATTTAGGAGGCATCCATCATGAGAGGCAGTTGTTTTGATAATTCAAAGAAGTATTCAACTGTGTGATTAACCATCTAACAGCAGCAGAAGAGTTGCAGAAGTGGTTTAGATCAGAACTATGTAGGACATAGTGCAAAGTGGATGTGGCGTCATATCTGCTGGGTGTTTTATTTGCAGCTGTTTGCTTGCATGCCTGCCTTAACAGCTCTATAAGGCGATAATAATAGATCAGATGTGTTTTTTGTTTGATCTAAATCCATCAGGAAGGGAAAAAAATCATCTATTAATGCAGCTTTTAGAGCTAAACGGTTCTATTTCTGTACAGCTGCAAGCTGCAGCAAAAGCCCTTTCACAAAACTGGTGTTTTGATGAGATTCAGAGGCAGTCAGATGGATCTTTGTATCTATTTCTAGCAATGAAATAAGTTGTATTTGTATATATGTGCATTAGTCTGTGCATGCAAGTGTGTGCACGTGTGTGGTCCTGCTTGGCTGCCTCTGTGTGTCAGATTTAGGAGGCATTTAAGGTACTTTTTTAAGTATTTGCATTTTGAGACCACAAATTTGACTTTGAGCAAAAAAATCGACACTGTGTTTTTTTCTCCAAACAGAAGCAAAAATATAAAAAGATATACTCTGTAAGTGGTAAAACTTATATGGCACTGAAACATAATTAATCCTAGGTAATGTAACTTAACTGACTTAAAGCCACCGAACAAAAAAAAGAAAAAAAAGTCTTTGAAATTTTTCATTTCTTGTCATGCGAGTTGTGCAGGCAGCAGATTTTTGCATGTCATCACAATCACCAACACATTGCAAAACTAACTGGGCAGCGTCTCTGGTTAACCTAACAGCTCACAACCAGGCCTCCTGCTGCACACACACACACACTTACACAAACACACACACATGCAACTCACTTAGTTTCCGTATGCTCATGTTGTGCCTCAGCTGCAGGTGGCTGCCCAACGGATCATCTGAGGAGGGCAAAACCGAGGAAAAGAAGCAGACAAGGAAGACGACTTCTTGTCGAGGAGGAGAAACCTTGGTGTGAATCACAGTGCCTCTCTGTGGTTGAGGTACTGCTCACACTTTGTTTGTGAGAGAGAGAAAAAGACTGAGAGAGGAGCTGCAGGGGCAGGGCCGACCTAACACTTCCTGTGTAGAGCTGAGAGCGCCAATGGTTAGAGGAAATGAAAAGCCGAGATGAGATGACAAAGTTTGACAGTGTGAGATAGAGATATGAATATATGAGGGTGGCTTTTGGCAGAGATGAGAAACTGTTGATAGGACAGAAAGCGTGACATGGAAACTTTGAAGGGAGTAAAGTGCTAAACACAGAAGTGCTGATTGGTCGCATTTTGCCTTGTTGAAAGAATCTGCTGGTTATAAATTAATTCAGAGGTAATCTATCAGCATTGATAGCACCGATTATCCACTTCAAACCATTAGACCTTTAATCTTTCTCCTGCAGTTTATGCACACAGTTAATGTTTGATGGCTGATTCATAACCTCTGAAGATGCTGCTCAACATCTGCATAAGTGAGATTCATGTTCTAAAGTACGCCTAACCTTTAAGGAAGGACAAAATACAGGAAATGGTGATGTTTTTAAATGAAGGTTTGCACATGTTTGAGATGGTCTTTTTTGCTCATCAGCACTGATGTACACTAATCAGCCACAACACTAAAGCTTCCTGCTTAAGATTGTGTAAGTCCCCTTTAAGCATGGACTCCCCAAGAACTCTTTAGGTGTCCTGTGGTATCTGGCACCAAGAAGTTAGCAGCAGATCCTTGAGATCCGCAGCACTCCCGGATCAGACGTGTTCCTCCAGCACATCCTATAGATGCTTGAATTCTTTGTCATGTTCCTCAAACCATTTCTGAACCATGTTTGCAGTGTGTTGTCCAAACCCATGTTCATGGTGCTACATGTCAAAGTAACATCCAGAGGTTTACACAGATCACTAGACTGCTTCCCTTGGAGGCACCCTGCTGTCAATTCTTCACCAGGTAAACAACATACATACACCTTGCTAGCCACATGATATAAAATTAGATTCATCGGACCAGGTCGCCTTCTTTATCTCCTCCGTGGTCCAATTCTGATGCTTGCTTGGTCCCTGTAGTTGCCTCCAGTGGTAGACAGGTGTCAGCTCAGACACTCTGCAGCTACACAGCTCCATATGAGGAAAGCTGTAATGCACTGTGTGTTCAGTGCCTTTCTATAAAAACCAGCATTAAAGTTTAACAATTTGTACTACAGTCGCTCTTCTGTGGGATCAGACCTGAAGACCTGCAGGTTTGGAGATGCTCTGACCCAGTCATCACAACTTGGTCCTTGTCAAACTTTCTTTCCTGGTCCACTTTTCCTGCTTCAAGATGATTGGAGGATGTCAAAACCTGCATGTTTGCCGTTTCTTGACCATCTTTGACTTTTGCGTAACATCTTTTAAGTTTTACTTAAAATGCCCCCAGAAACCGCAACTTAAATCAATAGCATCCCAGATACTTTTAGAAGCCCCTTAATGAGCCTGCCTGTCAGTCACTAGGAACTCATGCAGACATTTAAATTCTCGCAGAGGTCCCGAGGATACCAAATTTATCTTTCATGCTGAATGTTATTCAGTCTATATGGGCATAAAATGGTGCAAAAGACAGACACAATATTAAGACTACCGAATACTGCAGCTGTCTAAAACATGGAGTATTGGTCTGAATTTTTAAGTGCAAACATTTATATTCTGAGAAGGATGTAAAACAACACGGTAAGCAATAAAACAGTTGATGGAAAACCTCTTCATAGGAGTTTACAGTTTGTGATTTTCTAGCAGGAAACCTTTTACCTTTTTGTACATTCGTCAAACATTCATTTCAGCTCCTGCTAGGATGAGAAAAACCTCTGCTGCCTGTCGTAGGTATGAAGAGGTCAACTGGTAAATAACTGCCTTTATGCTTGGAGAATGTAACATGAAAGCTGTTGTTTACCTGCAATCAAAAATCTGACCATAACTTTTAGTTTTAATCCCCAAAACTCAACCATTTTATGTATGATAGATGTTTTCAAGTGAGCTCATGTTTAGTCAGTGTAGGTGTTGTTTAACCCTATTCAGGACTTGCATGATGCCATACATAGGAGGTCTTTGGGCTCCACTGGACCCCAAGAAAAAATATGTGCAAAATATTTGTTGGTGTTCATTATAGACTTTTATACTATGTTCAATACATTTTCTGATAAGTTGACGTATTTTTGGTTCCAAATGCATCACAAATGTCCCTCTTTTTTATATCAAAAGACACCAAAAGTCCTGAATAGGGTTCATATATATTGTTTGTGGCGAAGGAACCTCAGTATGGTGTGGAAAACTAGTAACAAGGCACACAGATCCGTTGATGACAGACCTGTTCAAAAATAGTTCATTTTACTGGAATAAACTAAAATATAAACAGGAACTGGAGCGGGTAGAAGGGAAATCGAATTCTATTACACTTCCTCAATACAACATATAAAACTAAAAGTATTAATCCAACACAACAGAGACAAAACAGAAACAAAACAGTGAGCTAGAGTCCCTTGTGGACAGGAAGACCACACTGAGGGTTGCTACCGTTGACTCGCCTTAAATGTCAAACAGCAAAGAAGTGCAAACTGCAGTCGTGCTTCAATCACATGCATGCAACCCTGTTTAGCCTCCTCTCAAAATGGCAGCCTGCTTCACTGAAACCAGTGTAAAAAAATATCTAAAAACAGTGTCAATAAACCACTTAGCAGGTTGAACAACAAACAAATCACAACTACAACGTAAAAATCACCAAAACAACAAGGAGCTAAATAGTGGTGACAAAACGGCAGCTGGTGGACCAACAAAAACCTTCTCACCATCTCTAGTTTGAAAGTCAGTATCACTGAAAATGGTGGGCGGGGTTAGACAACACATCGGAACCAACTATAACAAAATGCAAAATATAGAGGCAGAATAAAGGGGCTGACTGATGTATACAAGATCCATTAATTTCTATACCTTCAGCTTTACCTTCCAGCCACCACCACCCAAACAACAGCCCATCCATCCATCCATTATCTATACACCTTATATATAATATAAGGTAATTTAGAATCACCAGTTAACCTCAACATGTTTTTGGACCTTGTGGGAGGAAGCTGAAGAACCCAGAGAGAACCCACGCTGCACAAGGAGAACATGGAGACTCCACGCAGAAAGATCCCGGGTGTCCTCACCGGGACACGAACCAGCGACCCTCTAGTTGTGACGCAACAATGCTAACCACTGCTCCACATTGCAGCCCCATCAACAAACCAACCAAGGAAAAGAAAAGAAAAGGATGAACAAGGCCTACAGGTGTCTTATATAGTCTGCTCTTAATGAGGGCGTTAACGGTGGGGCGGAGTCACGACTCAGGCTGCATTCAATGCCACACATGAGCTTCACCTGCACCGGAAGAGAATTCTCCATTATCTTCGAGAGCAGGGGTGTCCAATCCTGGCCCTCGAGGGCCACAGTCCTGCATGTTTTAGATGTTTCCCTCTTCCAACACACCTGATTCAAATGATCAGGATGGTTATCAGGCTTCTGCAGAGCTTGATGATGAGCTGATCATTTGAATCAGGTGTGTTGGAAGAGGGACACATCTAAAACATGCTGGATTGTGGCCCTCGAGGACCAGGATTGGACACCCCTGTCCTAGAGAGTCAATAAAAAGTAAAATCCCTCCCACAATATTTTTATTTTTTGTATCTGTTAATTTATCGACAGAATTTCTCACATTGCTTCATTTTCATGCCTCCACATTAGTGACAGCTGAAGTCAGATGTATGTGTGTGTATGTATTAGGTTTCTGGGTTTTCTTGTGAACACTTCTTGTGGGAGTTTCTTCACATCTGCCTCAAACATCCCCTTTGACTCAAGATGTTTCTGTTCAAAGGTCCCGATAGTCTCCCACAGCCAGACCCCTTTATTCTGCTATAGGGGAAAAAAATACTACGGTTTCAATCACAGACGTCTGATGTGTGCTGGAGATGACCTATATAACGACTTATACCCAGTGAGTCAGACTAAAGTCACTGCGATCTCATAAACAAGTCTTTGGCTGTAGCTCAAGAACTCATTTGCAGACCAGAACAACCTTCACACAAAGGCAATGGACTTAAACTGCAACTTAACTGGTTGGCGGAGGGCAGGCGGTAATTTTAGGTCATTTAATGTTTAATGATGGGGACAAAAACTCCACAAATGTAAAATCTGCTTAATTGTTGTTAAATAGTTTGTGTATTTATTTATTTAAAATAAAATTGTTTATGATTTGTCCTTTGTAATGTTAATTTAGTTGCTTCAGTGGCAACATTTTGATGAGTAATGGCTCCTATAATGTAACGTATACCAGTCTGTACAGAACTCAGTCAAAGACTCATGGCCTTTGACTTCCTGTTGACTTTTTTTTGTGTGAGTGTGCGGCTTCTGCAGAAACGCGTTTCATCTTCCTGTCAGCACTGAACCACACCAGTACATGTGTTAGAAAAAAAAACCTGTGAAGAGTGGAGGCGCAGAACAGAGTAATATACATTAGACAGCAAAATGAATCTGCAGAACTTCTGAAACACCCAAACAACCCTTTTATTAAAGGCAATATCAGAGACAGAAACCAGAGTTCATATTATTGGTTTATTCTATTTATCATTGTGTAAGAAGCAATGAAGGTTTGTTGTTTATTTTGTTTTGTTTTTTTCATTTTTCATTCAACGATATTTGAAAGGGTTTGAGGTTTAAGCATCATTATATTGTGTGGCTTTATTCCATCCATCCATCATCTATACTCCGCTTAATCCTCACTAGGGTCATGGGGGGCTGGAGTCTATCCCAGCTGACTCAGGATGAAGGCAGGTTCACCTGGACAGGTAACCAGTCTATCACAGGGCTACACTTATAGACAGACAACCAAGCACACTCACATTCACACCTACGGACAATTTAGAATCACCAATTAACCTCAGCATGTTTTTGGACCTTGTGG